TTCCCTTCCTCTACGTTTGACACGAATGACTCGTTTCCTTTCAAATTTTTTGCCCCCCACCCGATTATCAAACCGGAAGTTTTGGTTTTGATTTCCACTAAACGGAATAGTTTAGATCATTTCTCATAGTACTTTTGTGTCATCATCTCTCCTAGTCAACTCAACCTTTCATTGCATATACTTTGATTATTTTTTCATCCTAAGTATATAATACAGTGTATACTGTCTTAAATATGCAATCTTAACCCTATCACGATTGGGGGACACTGTGTTTTTTCTTAATAACTTGAAAACGCCATATCATTAGTACTCCCAATTAAACTTCATAAATCAAAGTTTCTAAATTTTTTATTAATTAATTGCTACAGATCTAAAATTAATTTATATGTAAAGCTAGCCCTTGAAAAATGGATGTTGAGAAGAAACTAGAGATGAAGAAGTCAGGGAAGGAGAGATGATATGGAGAATAAGAAACTATATAGGAAGAAGAAATTAGGAAAGATTAAATTAAGGTAGAAGAAACTAAGGAAGAAGACGCCAAAGAAGAAACTAGGGAAGTAGAAACTAGGGAAGAAGAAACATGGAAAGAGGGAGCTAGGAAGAAAAGCCTTAGGAATTGAAGCAACTAAAGAAGAAGAGGCTAGGGAATTGAAGAAACTAGAGAAGTGGAAACTAGGGAAAAAGAAACTAATGAGAAAGAAACTAGGGAAGAAGTTAAAGAAAAAGAAACTAGGGAGTAAAAAATAAAGAAAGAATAAACTAGTGAATAAGAAACTAAGGAAGAAGAAACTAGGGAATAAGAAACTAAAGAAGAAGAAACAAGGAATAAGAAACTAAGGAAGAAGAAAATAGAGAAGAAGAAAGAAAGAAAGAAGAAACTAAGGAAGAATAAACTAGTGAATAAGAAACTAGGGAATAAGAAACTAAGGAAGAATAAACTATTGAATAAGAAACTATTGAATAAGAAACTAAGTAAGAATAAACTAGTGAATAAGAAACTAAGGAAGTATAAACTAGTGAATAAGAAACTAAGGAAGAATAAACTAGTGAATAAGAAACTAAGGAAGAATAAACTATGTGAATAAGAAACTAAGGAAGAATAAACTAGTGAATAAGAAACTAAGGAAGAATAAACTAGTGAATAAGAAACTAAGGAAGAATAAACTAGTGAATAAGAAACTAAGGAAGAATAAATTAGTGAATAAGAAACTAAGGAAGAATGTGAATAAGAAACTAAGGAAGAATAAACTAGTGAATAAGAAACTCAGAAAGAAGAAACTAGGGAAGAAGAAATAAAGAATAATTTTATATATTGGGGCAAAATAATGATAATAATTGTGCAATTTCTACTATTTCTATACAGTTATAGTGTATTGTATAGTACAGTGATACACAATACATACAGGTTCCATTTACCTTTAGGAGAGAGAAAAGCGGAAGCGGTTTAGAGTAGAATTATAAACCATATAAACCATGTATACCATAAACTATATTTGTATTGTTCCCTATTTACCAAAATTGTTTTTAAAACCTTTACAGCTCTGTGAACTCTGTAGGTTTGTAAATAAAATTCTAAAATTATAAGAATCCAGGAAATTTTCTTTGAAAAATTGAGAAGATTATTTTTTAGATTCTCAACCTCTTTTCAAACCATAAAATCAAAGCAAATGANTATCGCTGACTTTCCCGGCCCTCTCTTTGTATAATTCTGGATATTTTGTTAAATATTTATTGGGAATTTGTGGAGGATTAACGGGGATTTTATGATTCAAGGCGTATTGTATCACTGGCATGTTTACTACGGTCTGGCGTTGAAGTTTCCCAAACTAGGGGGTGGAAGGGGAGCCGTGCTGACTGCTGATTCTTAATAGCGTTTTAGCTTGAACCAGGGAGTAAGGAATAGATTCGCCCCACCATAAGATTTTACATGCTTTGCAGACGAGTACTCCATTAGTATATGAAATGTTCAGAATAGGTTATTGCATACGCAGTAAATGTACATCAGACAAATACTTCTTATACAAATGGGGTACTCGTCTGCAAAGACTGCAAAGCATGTATAATCATATGGTAGGGCGAACAGCGTCAGTTATATCTCCTTTCTATTCCTTAGTCCCTGGCTTGAACCCTACAGACAAATATAGGTCGTATAACTTGATAATTTTACTATATAAAAAAATCTGACCATGTAAAATGTAAATATAAAATCTTACCATTGCAGATAAAGGGCCATAGAGCAAGAGACGTATAAAAAGGGGGAGGGGGCCAGGTGCATGGTAAGGGGAGGGCGGAGATCCCAACGGAATCGAAGCCGCCCCCCCCCCCACTGATATCTAGACAACTCTGATAGTTATATTCATCAACATTTTAGACAGCCTTCAATTTAAATTAACGCAACATCTTGGCCTTTAGTTTTACTTCACAAACTCACTCATACGTTTTTGAAGCCCTGGACATAAACATTTTAAAATATTGCAAAGTGCACGTTTCATAGCTACTGTTTAAAAGGAATAATTAGCAAAATACTGCTTGATTTTTGCGTGATCTGATTCGCAGTGCCCCCTCGCCCTTGAATTAAGTCAAAAATGGTTAAGCCCCCTCCGGACAAATTTCTGTATACGCCCCTGTCATGCAGAGGTACATTATATATAAATAAAAGAAAGAAATTGATGAATTTTCATTTTTGATGATGTATAGCAGGAGTAGAAAAACTTAAAAGCTAAATGAAGATATGAGAAACTTATAACAATGCTAAATGCAGTTGAGAGTAAAAATGGCGATGAAATATGACCTGTATGTAACCCGAGAAAATGCGCTACGCTCGGTAGGTTCAGAAAAATGCATTCTGCGTTCGTATTAAATCCGTTTATAATTGAACCCTTTGAGGCTCTCGTACGCGCCGTCAATGTGAGTTTCTTGCAACCGGTTGCTGAGGGGAGGACAGTTCGGTCATACGCGCCGGTACAACAAAAACGGGTGAAACATTTAAGGGGGATTTTTGTAAACATAATTTTAAATAAAATTTAGAAAAACCATATTCTTTATTACAGCCTTTAAAATAAATGTTTAAAAAGTGCAAAATATAAAAATATACAAAAACAATAGATCCCCCTTTACATGTCGGAAGCCACATGTCCGCACTCCGCACTTGTACGACAGTCAGTCAGATCGCGTCCGCGACCGAGATCTTGAGAAAAATAAGCATTTCACCATCGTTTCTCTATTAACAGTAAACATTGTTAATAATTCAAGAATATGATAATGACATAAAAAAGAGTGACAATAATTTAAAATTATTATTTTTGTTCCAATTCATACAAAACGCCAAGTGAGAAGTGAAGTATTAAGAATGTTTTCAATGAAAGTAATAAATTGCTGAAGAAGTTTAATTGAAGATGAACGAAACGTAATATTTATCCTAAGGTAAGTTTTTATCTAAACTTTTGAAAAATGTTTTAAGTAAATCTGTTTTACCATGTTTAGGATTAAATTAATTTTATTTGAATCAACGATAAAAAAGTATAAATTTCAAAGTTTTGACATCATTTCTGAAGAAACTTGTTTTTATCAGAAACTACGATAGTTTATCTGAATATATGAACCCCCCCCCCCCCCAACCCTCCTATGAATTTTGTACATGACCACTTTTTTTCAGGAAAATAATTATTATTTATTGTTTATTGAGTTAGGCCAGGTTAGGTTAAGAAAATTCATGGGTCGAGCGCTGCGGCTAGGACAGGCTAGGGGGCCGAACGCTGCAGCTAGGACAGACTAGGGGCCCGAGGTCCTCGGCTTTATATGGTTTTATTAACGTTTATCATAAAGTAATGCGCGGAGATTAAAATGAAAAAAAATAGTCCAAGATAAAGTTTAGCAGAGGAAATATTTTACGCTTTTGAATTTCGACAAATTGATTTTGGATGCAGTGTTTTATTATGATGGTCTAAAAACTCAAAATTGAATCATAAAATTGCAAATTTGCTAAATTCTTGTTCATAAAAATTTAACTCCGAGGGTTTAATAAAATGAATTCAGTATAATCCATTACGAACTTATAAATGCTTGAGGGCTAAATTCCTCTTCAAGAAAAGACTCGATCTTCCAAATAACATAAGGATAAAATGACGACTTTTAAATCGTCTTTACTTAATTAATTCAAAACAGAATAAAGCTAGTAGATCACTTATCCGGGAGGAATACATCTTAATTTATAAAAAAAAAACTAAATCATTTTAATTTCAAATATCGTGTTTTCTCTAAATATTGTTTTTCTCTCCAATTCAGCATATAAAACCCTAAAACTGCCAAACATACTTAACATCTGGTGAATAAAAACTATCAAGGAGGGGGGGACTGTTGATAATTTTCAAGAAATATATACCCTCGTCTTACTGCGTAGTCTAATATATGGTCCTTGAAAAATCCTGATGTATAAATGGTTTCTATAGAACATTAATTAAAAAGAGAGGTTGGAGTGTCTTCAGAATACAAGGGGGGGAGGTCATATTTTTGACCCTTCATGTCAGATTTAAACATTTTTTCATTCTTTATAACAATGGTAGACATGCATTCTAAATTGATTTTTAGAAAATTTGTACACACTTAACTTGGATCCCAGCTATTCATTCATTTGAAATCGATTCACAATAGAATCAAATTCATAATATCAGTGCTCCACAATATTCACACATCTTAAATATTCAGAGCTCCACAATATTCACACATCTCTAATATTCAGGGCTCCACAATATTCACACATCTCTAATATTCAGAGCTGCACAATATTTACAAATCTCTAATATTTAGAGCTCTGAATATTCACACATCTCTAATATTCAGAGCTCCGCAATATTCACACATCTCTAATATTCAGAGCTCTGCAATATTCACACATCTCTAATATTCAGAGCTCCGCAATATTCACACATCTCTAATATTCAGAGCTCCGCAATATTCACACATCTCTAATATTCAGAGCTCTGCAATATTCACACATCTCTAATATTCAGAGCTCCACAATATTCACACATCTCTAATATTTAGAGCTCCGCAATATTCACACATCTCTGATATTCAGACCTCCGCAATATTCACTCACACATCTCTAATATTCAGAGCTCCACAATATTCACACATCTCTAATATTCAGAGCTCCGCAATATTCACACATCTCTAATATTAAGAGCTCCGCAATATTCACACATCTCTAATATTCAGAGCTCTGCAATATTCACACATCTCTGATATTTAGAGCTCCGCAATATTAACAATTCTTTAAAATTAAAAGCTCCACAATATTCAGAGCTCCACAATATTTACAAATCTCCAATATTCAGAGCTGAGCTCTACAATATTCACAAATCTCCAATATTCAGAGCTCTACAATATTTACACCAATGTTCAGAGCTCCACAATATTTACAAATCTCCAATGTTCAGAGCTCCATAATATTCACAAATCACCAAATTTAAGAGCTCGACAATATTCACAAATCTCCAATATTCTAAGCTCCACAATATTTACAAATCTCCAATCTTCAGAGCTCCACAATATTTACAAATATCAAAATCTCGCAACTTTAAATATTATTTAAACGTCACTAAAATTCAGAGTTACATAATATTCATAATATTTAGAGACCCCCGATTTTCACAAATCCCTAAACCTTACTGCTCTACAACAATCGCAAATCCATGCATGGTATTCAGAGCTCCACAATATTCACGAATCATCAATATTCAGAGCTCCACAATATTCACAAATCATCTATACTCTATAACTGCGAAATATTCGATCATAGAACCTCAATATTCAAACCTTCACAATATTCACATTTTGCAGTATTCATCTATCACAATATCGAGAGCAGCTTACAATATACAAAAATCGGTATTCAGAGATTCACAATATTCACATAACATCAATATTTACAATACTTACAGAATTGAGAATATCATAAGTTAAAATGACGCACTCTACTTGAATACTAAAATCTTAATTTAATTGAACAGATTATAGATATCTACAATCTACATATTGAGAGGTAACAAGATGAGGACAGATAAGACAGGGGCAGTTAGTACTGGGGGGGGGGGGGTGTCAGCTTCTAGGCATTAAACAAAGTGAAAAAGAAACAAAAACTCTGATTTAGAAAAATTGCTAAAGTTAGTTCAGAGGTGTGGGGATATATTAGTGGAGTTTTACTGCTGTAAATAGAGGGGTGGGAACTCATACAGTTCATTCATTCATTCATCCATCATCCATCCTTTCATTCATCCTTCCATCATCCATCCTTTCATTTATCCATCCTTTCATTCATTTATTCATTTATTCATTCATCCTATTTAAATTCATATTTAAACTATGCTTGATAATTAATTTGTTTATTTATCAGCGAAAAAAATCATTTCTCTTTTTCAACATTTTGTTTTTTAAATTCATTAAAATAAATTTTTATTTAATCTTTGTTTTATTAAATTGTGCTTTAACAGTTTTTAAAACATTTGCACTCATGCCTTGATCATATTTATTTAAACTAGAAATTCAAGGCGCTTCGCGCCCATCTTCTAAATTAATTGTAAACATGTTCTCTTTGTGTACATCGTAAAACTAAACAAAAATAATTCGCGGATTTTTACAAAAAATTTTGCGGATTTTCAAAATTTTAAAAAATTTAATGACGATCGAATTTTGATAGAGACAAATATTTGAAATTTTGATGATTCATAAACCTTCCCTGGGCTCCCTAGATGTCCCACAAAAAATTTGGGCCCGATCGGTTCAGCCGTTTTGACGTTTATTGGATACAAACAAACAGACAGACAGACAGACAAACAGACAGACAAGCCAAATTTATATATAGATTAAAAATAGAAAATAATCATTTATATTTTATATTGATAAAACTAATAAATCAAAGCTAGTACAAGACATATATAAAAAATGTGAAAGAAATTATTTGCAAATATTTTGCAAGGAATCTGGAAACATCTGCAACATGTTGCACTGATGATACTATTTTGTATCGACATTTTATTTATGTAATCTTAGGAACACAAAACAAATATTTGATAAAAATTCAAAATTTTTAATATTTTAGAAAATAAAATAATGTTTGGACAAAAAAAAAATGTTACAATTTAAACTGATATTCAATTGACATCATAAAATTAAAATCTAAAACGTCAGGGGAACAATCCGCCTGTTCTGGTTTTAAAAGTAAATAATAAAACTGAGTTTTTTCCACAAATTAAAATTTTGCAATTCCTATATCTTTGCAACTTGATGATGTAGACCTTTGATATTTTAAACTTAGATTATTTGGTCTAACAGAATTCACAGTTTTAAATATCTCAGGTCTGCGACATTGGATTGCACAGATATAGGGATAATAGTCAGAGTTTGTGGCAAAGGCTCAATTCCTCTAAGGGGTTGGTTATAGAAAAAATGATAAGATGAGTTAGATAGATAGTTAGTTAGTTAGTTAGTTAGATAGATATTTAGACAGATAGTTAGATAGATATATTGTCAAATAGATATTTAGATAGATAGATAGTTAGATAGATAGTTAGATAGATATTTAGATAATTAGTTAGATTGATAGTTTGATAGATGGTTAGACATATGGTTAGATAGATAGATAGACAAATAGTTAGATAGATGTGCTGGAATGGATAAGGATGGAGACATCTATAAAAGTTGTTGATACACATCTATGTTAGACTAGATATCAAATGTCAGTTTGTCACTGGCCCAAATATGTATCAATCTATCCTTCTACTATCCGCTCTATCTATTTATCTATCTATGAGCTGTCTAACTAGTAGTAATTAGAGTGGCGGAATTTAAGAAATGTGTCTCCAGATTCTAAGGTTTCACGCCACGTTTGTGCGTGAGCGCTCATGTGTGCGTGCAACGATCATTGGTGAATATTTAACTGGATGAATGTTTGTGTGTATTGTGAGTGTGTGTGTATGTGTGAACACACTTAGTTAACCCTTGACGTTTTGTCAGAACTGAATATATTTGAGGGCGAGAGAAAAAATTAAATTTGAAAATATTTCCCGCATTTCTGTTCTATGATAAATGAGAGTGCTCATCTTTCACCCTTTTTTCATCCTTTAAACTNGGGCCGAACAGTGATGGAACATTGATGGATTGCAGACGAATAGAATGATGGATGTATAGTTGTTTGATGGAATAAAGACATTTATGGATGTTGGGTAGACGCAAGGTACTAATGCAAGGAAAGTTAATTGCGGTTGTGTATACTCTGCCCACATATTGAAACCAGTTCTCTCTGGGCCGAATTTGTAAAAAAGAATAGATGCATCAGTGTTCGTTTAGTATCCGAGGAGTATTAAAGCATTTAATTTTATTAATTCACATTATGTTTCCTATGACCAGAATATTTCATAGATTAT